AAACTTATACACATAAGATTTTCATTTAAACTTAGAATTAGAATCCTAAACGTTTGAAATGGCGCGGCTTTCTAGAACTGGGCTGAGGACTAAGATGCAGGCATGGCTGGGGACCTTCCTTCTCTCTTTTGTGTTCACTGGCTTGAAAGCCAAATGGGGCAATGGGCTGAGTTCCTTTATCCTGAGTGATCAAGCCGTGTTTTTTGGGGCCACTTATCACCTTCAGCCCAGTGGGACAGTCCTGCAACCATTTAATTATTCAATGCCCCAAGCAAGATCACCCAAATCAGATAAACTGATGGCCGTCCTAGGATGCCAGGTGCCTGTAACTTCAGTATCTGTCGTCCAGCTATGTCCTGAAGTCTCAGCCCAGTGATGGCATCCAAACACACGACACCCACCCTCGCTGCCGCAGACCCTGAGAAACGTACGCGATGAGGTTGAGGCAGTCCTTGTTGGACAGCTGCTCCTCCAGCAGCAGTCGCAGGGAGTGTTGGATATGAATAATGTACATGGAATTGGTCACGGAGATATCGAGCAGTATAACCACCCTACGAGGAAACACAAGCTTTACGGGGAGAACCGAATCTCTCAGATAATGTTTATTTTGTTCCATTTTACTATTTAAAGTTCTTTCCAGGGGAATTTTGCATGCCAACATCATAGCTGGCCAAAATCTTCTGTGTTGTTTGAGGGCAACAGAGGTGGGTTTACAACAGTAGACTAAGGGCATCGTGGAACCTTCTCTCCCAGGAGGTTCTACAATGGAATAAACTCTCATGGTGGAGATGATTTAAGGGGCAGGGGCTTCATATAATGATTTTCATCAATTCTTTATTTTAAAGAACTAGCATTCAATATTTTTATAGGTTGGGATCTTTGTAGGGAAAACAGAAACCAGATGAGCAAGTGAGATAAGGAACTAAGTGTATGTGGGCCTCTTGGGAAATGTTTTTATCTCTTTGTTTGCTCTCTCTCTGTGTTTTAAGATCCTCAGCTCCATTTCGTCTTCCTGTCCTTTCACTACTTCAAATCTTATATTCCCAACTCCCCCATTCTCCTTTTGAGACAGCTAAGGATAACAAAAGAAAATCCACTGGATTTAGAATCAGAGGACCTGGGTTCAAATTCCACTTCCTATAGCTGTGTGGCCTTAGGCAAGTCACAAAACCTCTCTGATCTGCGATGTATTTAACTATAAACTATTTATAATAAGATTCCTCATAGGGTTGCTTTGAGAGTTAAATTATATAATAGATGTATAATGTTACAAAGTATAATATTTTGTAAATGGTGAGGTACAATCAAATGAGGTACAGAATGATAACAATGGCCTATTGTTTCTCCCTATTCAGCGTCCATTACCTTGTCTGGCAACCGTATCCTGATTTTCCTTTGGGAAACACTCTGCCTCCATCAGTGTATTTGAGTTGGGTGAAGCTGATCCCACTCTGAGCTTCCAGGGTGGGCGTTTGACCCTGGACAATCAGAACATCACACCCCCCGGGCCAGAGTGAATAGCTCATGGGTGGGCTGGTGCCTGCAGCCCTGGGGTGCTAAGCTGGTAGGAAGTTAAGTTTTGGAGCCTCGGGTTGCCATCTTGCCCCCTGACATGAATAAACCTCTGAATCCAGCCATGCCTGAAGACAGAATCAAATCTATTCTAGAATTTTCAGTAACCTAAATCAGACTTGTCTTGTTTAAGCCAATTTGCATTTCGGTCCTGTTGCTTTTTAACTGCAAGAATCCTGAGTGATACAACAATCACGTTATCAACGTTCATGATGGTGGTGGTGACTTTTTCTTCTTCTAGGGGTTCCACTGAGAGATTTCGGATCCCTAATCTAAGTGATGGTTTCTGGTGCTACCAACAGGGAACTTGGGAGTTGGATAAATGCTGCGTCCCCACACCAGACCCATGAAGGACAAGAGCACTGCCCGGGGAAAGGTACCTTTTTTCACAGACAGTGCCCCAGATTCTCCTGCTGGCCAGAGAGAGCCACTCGATCCGCCTCTCGTACATCCGCATAGCTCTGCTGAGCTGTTTCTGCAAAAGCAAGGGCCACAGTGAGGTTCAGCAGGTGGGAAGGGTCTGGGGGAGGTGGGTACACCCCAGCCGGCTCCTGGGAAGGGACTGCTAAGTCCCTGGGTATCCAGGTGGTGTGACTGTTCTACTAAATCATGGGCAAATCTGCCAAGACCAGGAAGGAGAGTCAAAGTATTTCATTGCATCAAATGGAGAAGAGGTAGATCTTGCCCCAGAGGATTAGAAACTTTTGTTCGAGGCAGGCATCCGGGTCCCTGCCTAGGGAAGTGGGTGGAGAAAATTCCAGAGGCGCTTGTAGGTGGTGCATACAGTACCTCCTTACAGGAGGGAGTTTCGTCAATGGCCTGGCGTCTCCACAGCCCATGGCACTTTCCTCCCGTTCCCCTTTCCTGCGCCCCATGTTCTGACTGATCGGACCCATCACTGACCTGGTACTCACAGAGGAAGGGCAGGTCCACGTGAATATTCTTCACCGTCCCATCGTGCCATTCAAATTGCACCATTGCCTTCTGTGCTCAGCGAGGGTGAACAGAAGCGCGTGTGGGAAAGGATTTCCAGTTTAGTTTGGGCACTGAATTCTTCCAATCAGATGCACGAGAGGAAAATGGGCTCTGAACATAGATACGGTCAGATTATTCACCTCCCCTCCCCGCCACACACACACACACACACACACACACACACACACGTGATCACCGTCACACAGCCAGGTCATTGTCGTGTCTGGAGCTGGCAACAGAGGCCCTTCAGGAGGGTGGCCCCTGCATGGGCCGTGCGGGACAGCAAGCCAGCCCACCTTCCCAGCAGGCTCCTCTGAACGTCAGAGTCACTAAGACGCGGCCGGGGGGCTTTGGCAATGGAGAGCAGAGTCCGAGACCTTAAAACATACTGCTGCGGTTTCTTAGGTCTGGGAACCCAGATGGGCCTTCACAGACACTTTGAAAATCCAATTTTTTCGTCCTGTTCTTTCGCCCTCCACCAAGTCATCACATCCATTTCTCTGTCACTCCATCCACCTCGTCATTCATCCACCTGCTGCCAGAACTACACACCCTTCGCTCCTCTCTCCTTCCATTCGGTCTTCCATTTTCCCACTCTCTTTCTGTCACCTGTTCTTTTTCCTTCCATTTCTCTGCCCTTTCACTCCTCCATCCTTCCATCCTTACTTTAAATTTTACTGTCATCCTTTCATATTTCCTTTATTCCATTCTGTCATCCATCTTGCATTTCTCCCTCCCATCCTTCTGTCTGCTTACATTTGCTTCCATCCATCCATCCATCCATCCATCCAACCATCCATCCAT